TTATGACAGTAGCCACTGCATCTTCTGTCTTTTTTTCTTAGTCTGGAAAAAGGCTTACTGACTTTATTAAATAAAAAGCTTTTGGTTTTATTGATTTCTTCTATTGATTTTCTGTTTTTAATTTCATTGATCTCTATACTAGCTTCATTATTTCTTCTTTTATCTTACTTTGGTCTTAATTTGGTATTCTTTTGCTACTTTCTTATGGTGAAAACGTAAATAAATGACCTCAGAACCGTGTTCTTATCTAATACATGCACCCAATAATATTCATTTGCCTCTAAGCATTGCTTCTTCTGTATCTCAAAAACTTCAATAAGCTATGCATTTATTTAAACTATTTTAAACTTTTTCTTGAGTGTTTTTCTTGGACCAATATTATTGCTTGATTGCCATTAGCTAGGGTGGGGGCGGGGACTCCAGCATCCTTCTCTTGTTGCTTTCTAGTTCCTTCCCACTGTCCTATGCAAATAGACATCCAATGCTTTCTGCTCTTCGAGGTGCTAAGCTGTATTTGCATACTCAGGACATGGTCTGCCTTGGTGAACATCCCACTCCAAAGTGAACCTGCCTGCCAGAAACATGCCCTCTGCTTCTATTGGATGAACATGTCTATAAATGTCTCATACATCCAGTAGATTGATGGTGCTGTTGAGTTCAGCTGTGTTCTTACTGATTTTCTGTCCTGTAGTTGTGTCATTTCTTACAGAGGGTGCTGAAGACTCCAGCAATAATAGTGGATTTATCCATTTCTACTTACAATTCTATTAGAGTTTTGCTACATGTATTTTTACTTTCTGTTGTTATGCAAAAATACACTAAGGATTGTTGCACCTTTGGGGAAAATCCACTCCTTTATCTCTGTGAAAAGCCCTCTCTAACACCAATGCTTTTCTTGTGTTTAAGTCAGTTCTGCCTGGGATTTACATAGCTACTCCTGTTCTTGATTTCTTCTGGAATGTTCTATCTTTCTCTCCCCATTTGTTTTTAGTTTATATATCTTTCTATTGAAAAGTAGACTTCTAAAAATATTTTTATTAGTTGAGAATTTTGTGCAGTGTGTTTTAATTGTATTTACCCTCCCCCAACTCTTGCCACATCCACCCCCACTTTCCTACCCACTCATTGTATGTCCTTAAAAAAAGTACCCATGCTACAATCCACAGACCCAGAGATGATAAATAACAGGGAGAGCTCAAGGGGGACAGGGCACTGACTCGTTTCCCAACTCTCTTTCTTAATGTAGATCTTAGCTTTGGACATTTGTCACCTCTGTGCAGCTGAGAAAGTCTTCATCCCCTACCCCACCTTGTGGAGGAGAATTTCTCAACAGAGTAATAGGTTGGTGGATTTCTTTTCCATTCAATACCTTAGCTACTTTCATTCACCCTCCCCTTTCAAGCACAGTTTCTAAGGAGAAGTGGGAGGTCATTCTTTTTAGTAAAGCTCTTCTGGCTTCTAGCTTCTTGCTGGGTTTTCTTTGTATTTGATTCTCCATAGCTGGAAGACAAGGTGCCTGCCATATAATTCATTACTTCTGCTTGGTGTTCTCCGGGCTTGGGGTATGTGGTTTGGAGTCCGGCATCAATCTGGAAGAAATTCTCAGCGTCATTATTTCAAATATTTCTTCTGCCTCCTCTTCTGTATCCCCATTACACTTACATTATCATCTTCCGTATTGTCCACAGTTCTGGGCGTTTTCTTCTTCATCTTCATCATTGCTTTCATTATTTCTCTTTGCTATTATAGGTTTAGAAGTTTCTATTGAGATAGCTCACATTAAAGGTCCTTTCCCAGCCCTGTCCTGGCTACTGAGAAGACCACCATTGCAATCTTCATTTTTGTTGGAATTTTAATCTAATGAGGGTCTTTTCTGTTCAACTTGTCTTTTCCATATGCTCTAGCTTAGCATCTACTCCATCATACTAATAATAGTTATTTGTGGAATCCTTGGCTTATTGATTCCACAACCCCTACCACATCTGAATTCTGTTCTGATGATTCCATTTTGTTTTAAATTGTGCTGTTGTTTTGCCTTTTAGTATACACTGTATGTTTCTTTTTTTATTTTATATAAGAGATTTTCTAGTCATTTTACATATCAGCCATGGATTCCCCTGTCCTCCCTCCTCCCCCCCAGCCTCCCCTCCCCATTCCACCCCTCATTCCCACCTCATCCAAGGCAAGGTCTCCCCTGGGAAGTCAGCCCAGGCTGGTACATTCAGATGAGGCAGGTCCAATCTCCTCCTTCCTGCACCAAGGCTGAGCAAAGAGTCTCAGCATAGGTCCTAGGTTCCAAAAAGCCAGCTCATGCACCAAGGACAGGTCCCGGGTCCCACTGCCTGGGGGCCTCCTGAACAGTTCAAGCTAATCAACTGTCTCACTTATCCAGAGGGCCTAGTCCAGTGCCATGGGGGCTCCTGAGCTATTGGTTCACAGTTCATGTGTTTCTGCTAGTTTGGCTATTTGTTCCTGTGCTTTTTCCAATCATGGTCTCAATAGGTCTTGTTCATATAATCCCTCCTCTCTCTCTCATCCATTGAACTCCTGGAGCTCAACCTGGGGCTTGGCCATGGATTTCTGCATCTGCTTCCGCATATACACAATGGAGTACTACTCAGCAGAGAAATACAATGGCATCATGATGTTTGCAGGCAAATGAATGGAACTAGAAAATATCATCCTGAGTGAGGTAACCCAGACTCAGAAAGACAAACATGGTATGTACTCACTCATAAGTGGATACTAGATGTAAAGCAAAGGATAACCAGACTGCAACTGACAACTCCAGGGAGGCAACCTAGTAAAGAGGACCCTAAGAAAGACACAGGGATCGCCCAACAGCAGAGAAATGGATGAGATCTACATGAGCAAACTGGTGTGGGGGGGTGGGGGGGTAGTGGATGGCAAGGGTTGAGGGAAAGAGAGCTTAGGGGAGCGGGAGGTCCCAGCTGGATCAGGAATAGAGTGGGAGAACAAGGAAAGAGATACCATGATAAATGAAGACTCCATGGGAATAGGAAGAAGCAGAGTGCTAGAGAGGTCCCCAGAAATCCACAAAGATGACTCCACTATAGACTACTGGCAATGGTCGAGAGAGTGCCTGAGCTGACCTACTCTGGTGATCGGATGGCCGAATACCCTAACTGTCATAATAGAACTCTCAAGCTGTATGTTTCTTGTTGGTGGCCAAATACACTGTTTAGGGTAAACAGAAGTGTTTGGGGTAGATATTTGTATTTTACAATGGTGTTGGGATGGAGATCACCCTAGTCTCAAGATTGGGTCTTAGTCCCTCAGTGACTCCATGCCTTAGACCAGTGGTTCTCAACCTGTGGGTCACAACCCCTTTGGGGGGGTCACATATCTGATATCCTGCATATCATATATTTATATTATGATTCATAACAGTAGCGAAATTGTGGTTATGAAGTAGGAACAAAATAATTATGGTTGGGGGGTCACCACAACATAAGGAATTGTATTAAAGGGTCATGACCCACAGGTTGAGAACCTTAGCTGTGACATTTGTATCACCTTTCCCCTCTTCTCCCTCCCCTCAGCCTTATGTGGTACAGAATGGCTAATGTGAGGCTCCAGCAAGCTTACCACAGCTGAGATCTCTCTACCCTCACTGGTTCCTGCTTCATCCCATGGCTCTCTGGTCTACTAAACTGTACTGCTCTGTATTCTGCTGCTCCCTCCAGTCTGGGGTGAGTGAGGATTGTGATTTTGCTCTTTCTGTGGGTTAAGAATGGGTGTTAGGTTTGTCCAGCTCTTCTCTTGCTACAACAGAGTAGCAGCTTCCAAGTCCCTTCAGACTGTGCACAGGAGGTCTTGAGAAGCCATGTTTCTTTTGCTTCTTTTATGTTTGTAGTTGGTGTCCTTCTGCCCTGAAGCTCTCACAAGACACTGAGCAGATGCTGGCATCATGCTCTTGAACATCCTCACCTCTGAAACAGTGGGGTCAGAGAAACCTCTTTTCTTTAGAATGTTTCCAGCTTTCGGTACTTTGTTTTAGCAATAGAAAGTGAAGCAAGACAGGGGTCATGCATGGTTCTGCCAACCACAGGGAGTAAGCATTGATGGGAGGAAAGAATGAGGACTAGCATAATGAGGTCAGAACTAATATAATGAGGTCATGTGACCACTGCGGTTTCCCAGATTTGAGATGACACAGAGATGACTGGTTTATGAGGAAGAATAAAACATTTAAAGCAGGTAATTTTACCTGATACACTGCTCAGGTCTCGAGGGACCTGAAGTTTCTCTCCTCCAGTCTTCCTCTAACTGGATGAGCCATAAACTCTGCCATAGCTTAGCTACCTTATCTCTTTTGTTTCTTGAAATGAAATCCCAAGAATTGGACAACACAGATAGACAGCAATGAGGAGAACACACATGGAAAGGCACTTTGAAATAGTAGGAATTTGAGGCACCCCTGGGGGACCTCTCACCCAACCATCCAGGAAGCAAGTGTAGAAAAGTGGGCAATGGTAGATGTGACAGGGGCCAAGATTGCTCCAGTTCAGGAGAAAAGTTCCCTGTGGTTCTCATTAGTGGGTGACAGTCTCCTGCTTGGTGCCAACCTACCTACCAATCAGGTCACCAGATATTAAACCCTTATACTACACACAGGGAATTTGACATTGAAAAGGATAGTCTCCTACTCCTGGATTGTGGCAGGTACAGGGAAGTCACTGAGGATGATGCATGTTTACTCTGAAGCCCAAGTTGTCTCCGTTAAAGCTGAAGAAACAAGACCCATGTCTGTGTTTCTGAATTGTACTCCAAGTCCTTGCTCAGGGCCTGTGGCCTCCGATTATGACTCTGTTCCTACCCAAGAGAAAAACCAAAGGTCACCCACATTATTTTGATGCAGGATCCCTTTTCCAGAAATAAAACTGACTAGAGTTTAAGGATTGACTGAGCCAACAGGCAGGCTTTTGCCAACAGAAAGGCTGGGTGGAATCAGAAATAGAAAGCAGGCACACCTTAACAGGGCATCTGTTTGTCCCAAGTGCTTGGGTCACAGGGAAGCCATCAGGTACCTTGGGTGGGCATCAGAATTTCCATGAGGCAGATGTGGCCTGGTGCCTGCTGGGATTTAGCTAGAAAGCAGAATAACTTTGCATAGTGATTGTAGAAAGCTGTAAAGAGTCAACTGTACAGTGTAGTGCAAATATTAGCTCTTTGCCTCTTCTGGCTCTGACTTCCTCTTGACCATGCGGCCAGAGCCCTTCATCTGAGGAGGGCTAAGCAGCTGGGAATAGCTGACATCTGCCAGAGGGGCATTGTGAACCCCTGAACATCAGCTGTCTCTGGGCCACTTATGACACCCTCGTTTGGAGGCAGAGAATCCAGTCCAGGCAGAGAGACAGGGACAGTGTGGAAGTCAGCCCATCCTCAGGGTAATAGACTCACTGGGGTCCCTTGCTCCTGGAAGAATACACTCCCACTCCCAACAGCCCTAAAGCCTTCAAGAAGCTGAAAGTCAGAGAGAGAGAAGAGGCTTCATCCCCACTGTGGAGACAGCTCACCCCCAGCACCGCTTCCATATGGCTTAATACTTTGAGATTTCTTACACGTCTCAAGGGAAGGCTGTTCTTCCTACAGGTTTCCCGGCGTGTGTCTCCTCTCATCCATAAAAGATTGGGTTTACTCACTGTGGAAAGCTGAAAGTGAAAAACAGGTGCAGCTATATAATATTTCTCTTTAATTACTGTTTATAGGAGAAAAAAAAAACCAAGTGTGGAAATTAATTATTCCATATTGTTAGAACAGGGCGAACTGCTTACTAATTTTAACTATAGCTTTTATGGGGAGTCTGTTGCTCAACATCTTATTAATGTGGGTAAATATTAACAAACAGTTCACACACCTCCTCCCCGACTAGCCTCTCCCTGTCCTTCTTTGTCGCCCTAGAGCACAGTCTCCTGGGGAGGAGGCGGTCTCCTGGGGAGAGGGGTTCATGGGGTGTCTCTTTCCTTTCCTGTGTGTGGCTGAGCTCATGTGCTACAAAACTTCCTTTCAAGAAGTGTCTTCTATTTGCAGAGCTGTTTCCCTCTCTCTCTCTCTCCAGCCAGGCATCCTGAGACTTCCAAAGACACTGGAGGCAATGTTGTTTTTCTATTGTTCGATGCCCATTTTCATGCCTGGGTCATTCACTCTCCTAGTTGGCAGTCTCCATCTGATTTGTAGCTATTGAGAGAGACCCATAGGAAGCCAGTGGCCAGCAGGGCAGATTAGCATTGGATGAAATGGATTGGAGAAGATGCCCAATGCTCCTCTGAGTGTGTCTCCTGGTGCGTAGAATAGAGAATTAACAAGTTCTGAACTCATGCAGCCCAGGTAATGAAGTAAGAGAGGAAGATTTGGGGAGCTGGCTTTAACTTACTCTCAAAAGTACCCACATAGTGGGTGAACTAGTTTGGCTTTTGAATGACTGCCATTGTTTTTGAGGTGGAGCTTTACTATGTTGGCCACACTGATTTTTAATTTGTGAGTTCAAGTGATCTTATCTCTGTCTTCCAAGAAGCTGAGACTACAGGTCTGTACCATAATTGGCTCCTACTGTTTCATTTAGTGTTGTTGTTGTTGTAACAAAATATTCAAGGTAAGGTGCTTTATAAAGAGGTTTATTTAGCTGTCAGATCTAGAGGTTCAAGAGAATGGCACCATCACTTATTTGACTCTGGTGGGAGCCTGATGATAACGGCAGGACAGTGGTGGGAGTGTGTACAGAAGAGATCACAAAGAACAAAGGAAAATGAGAGGGATTCAGGAGCCAAGTTGCTTTTAAAATACTTTTAAAGATTTATTTATCTTTAATTTTAATTGTGTGTGTGTGTGTGTGTGTGTGTGTGTGTGTGTGTGTGGAACTGTGTGGGGTTAATGTACACACCAGTGCAGGTGTTGGCAGAGGAACTGGGTCCCCTTAAACAAGAGTTGTGAGCTGTCCACCCAGTTCCTCTGCCAACTGCATGAATAACTTTTAGACACACTGCATATTAGTAGAGCTGAAGATTCATCAAACCCACCTGAAGTATCAGTGGGGTTGGGCAGAAGTTCCTGAGACTTTTGCTGATATAGATTAAAGGTGGTCTGTAGCTCTGAAAGCCATGTACAGATAGTCTAGCTACAGAGCAAAATATCCATGATGCAGTGGCTTACGGTAGGTAACTAATTCAGTGTGTCTTATGATGGAGGGAGTCAAGGGCTGGGGCAGTGCAGCAAGCTGGGCAATTCTCTTATTCCATCTGAGTAAGTCTGATGTGGCCAAGATCTCCTTGCTCATATGTCTGGGTCCTGGGCATGGCTTGGAGGCTGGACTCCTGTTTATGGTCAGGATCTGTACATAGCTCTTTAGAATGGTGACTTTGGGTAGTTGGATTTCTTACCTGGTGGCCCAGGGTACCCACAAAGATGATCTGAGATACCCAGGCAGATGACACAAGACTTCTTAGCTATCCCCAGTCATCCCCGAATGCCACTTTCATCTCTTCTGGTGGTTAATCAGTTGCTGATGCCAGCCCAGACTTAAGAGGATGACATCATGGGAGAAGCAGCAAAGGTCCCAGGGTCACCTTTAACCTCCATCAGCATGTAGTTCTGTTTGGAGATGCCTCAGGTCTTGCAGAGTTTCCTAGTCTCACAGCCAGGGCTTTGGTACTCATTTTACTCAGAATTTTGTTACCATCTGGTCTCAATCACTGCTCCTCAGTTCCGTTATAAATAATAAAAGCAGCAGAAGATTAAGTAAGACACATGTAAAAAGCTAAGAGGAAAGCCTGGCACTCAGAAGGGACATGGCACATAGAGTTCTTGGTATGAAGAGGACTGTTTAATGTGATAATAATGTGGGAAGAATATATGAGGTATATATATATAGTGTGCTTAAAATGCTGGGTCAGCCCCATCTGTGATGCATGCAAAAAAATAACGTTATAAAAAAAAAGAATGGAAAAGTAAGAAACAATAATAAAAAGCAATAAGCCATGGCTCATACAATAAGGGTAGGTACACTTTCTATAATTTGATTTTATAAATACATTCATGTTTTATAATACATCTCTGCCACGAGGTGAAATAGTCTTTTTTATCAGATATATTTCTTACTGAGGTTCATGGTCAAAAAAAGTTTTCATGCTGCTGAGAGAACAGGTGTGGAAGACCTTTGCCAGCTGGGCTGGTGCCGCCATTCAAAAGTAGGGCCCTTGTTGTATGGGATGCATCTGAGTCCAGCTGGCCCAGAGGCTGAGCTGCTTAGTAAGTGTGCAAAGAACACTAGGATCCTGGTTTGTTAAAACCAACAAAGCCAAACTACCTGAAAACATAGCATTTAGCCTGGCATTGCTTCTGGATGTCACATGATGTCCTGAAAATTGGATGGGCACAGAGCAGCATCCTAAAAACCCACCATCCTCCCTGATCTCACCCCAAATGTCTTAAGAGGAATGACTGGCTTGCTCTCTCTGGACCAAAAAGGATTTCCAGATGAGGGGGAGCTGCACTGAGTATGGATTTGAGGGGAAGTGAGGATAAAAGATGTGTGGATAAAAAAGCGGTGTGAGCTCTCCTATCTGTTGACTCCTACATTTCCCCCTGAGATGGTACCTCTCCTGTGCCAGCTGTGCATTCCCTGTGGGAGCTGCCTGAGATGACCACCTTTCATGTCATAGATGGGGATCTTAGAAACTGATCTGAAAGTCTAGTAAGAGCCATTTCCCAGGAGCACCCTTCCTTCCCCTCCATTCCCCTCCCCTCCCCATCCTGCCTCCCCACTCATCTCTCAGAAATCTCTGTCCACTTTCCCATGGTGAAATCCTAAACTCAAGAGCTGCTCACAGCCCCATTTCTGCAGATGGAGGAAGGCATCCTGCAGCAAGAAGCACGGGAGAAAGAGGCGGCAGAGTCATTCACATCCTGTCTGAGTTCTCCGATGGGCTTCTTCGGGAAGCCCAGCTGTGTCCTTGTTATAATGGCTGCACAGCTGTTGATCCTCACTTCTCCCTTTGCCTAAGCTCATTTGAGATGGGTTTCTGTCCTTTTCATTTGATAGCCTCTCCTAAATACTCTTAAAAGGAAGCAAGTTGGTGGGACTGGAAGGCATAACTCTGATCAGTCATTTTTCCTGAGCCTGCACCATGCTGGGACCAGGGGCTGCCAGCTCTCTCTCTCTTCCTTCCTGTCCAGGTGTCGGCAGGATGCACAACCCAGAAGCAGGTGCAGCAGGAGGGAAAGAAGCACCAGCCAATGCACACACTGGCTTTGCCAGCCCTCACAGTCCCTCCCGGCAGGAACTGCCGAGGGCAGCCAGCTCTTCCCCCACACGCATCCTCCAGGCTCCTCCATGCTTAAATGCCATGATCTCCACCGCGCCAGGGGCTGCCACATCAGGAGCTGTGGATTAAGTGATTTGTCTCCCTCCAACACAGCTGCTCCCTGGCTCCTGTCTGACAAATGCGGTTCATTAGGGCTGACAAAGATGAATGTCCTTGTTTATAGAAGTCAGCAAAGCACTGTTCTTGGGGAGCCTGTGGACCTGGATCGGAAGCAAGGTATACATCAGATTGGCTCCCCAACATTTCCTCTCAGCCACAGGCTACAGGGGCAGGAAAGCCAAGTCCTCACTACCTGCCAAGAGTAGAGCCCATAAGAGTTTCTCAGTTGGTACAGTGAGATCTGGCAACTTCTCCCACAATCATCTGAGAGTCAACCAAGTGTTGGAAGGCAGTGGCTCTACAGTGTACATAGAACACCCACAGCCAGTAAGCATCTGGGCCACTGCTATCTACCCAGCAACTAGCTGGAAATGAGTACTTAGAGCTGGGGGAGTATGCTGAGAACCCAGGCATTGTTGTAGGGAGGTGAAGCCTCAGAGATACATGTGGCCATAGCCACACATACCCATTGTAACTCTCACAACGAGAAGAATGAGAACAGCTGTGGGTCTTCCTGTCCTAAACAGTGACTCCAATCAATACTTCGTGCTTATAAAATCTCCTGAAATGAAGCCATGATTGTCAGCCTGGCTGGGCAGCAGAGGCACTTTCTGCTGAAGTTTGAGATTATTTGCCATGCTAAAAAAAAAAATGTATTTTGTATCATAGCCCAGACACACACGCACACTCACTCACATGCAACTCCAATGGATTCACCAGACAATATTCACCTTTATTGAATACAAATTCTGATGTTTCTTACTTTATTCAATTTCATAGCTCACGTAGGTGCTGATTACAACCCAATAAACTAATTCTACCATCACCAATAGGTTAAAGCCACTAGTTCAAACAATAACAACAATGCTGACCCTTGATGATTTTTAAAAATCCACTTTCGCCTTACCGGATCAAGTCCTCCTGGGAAAGGAGCACACAAGGAGAGGCCAGAAGTTCAGCTCAGCGAGGGTAGGAGGGTTGGGAAAGCTTACAAGCCAGGCAGGGCTGTCCTGGGAACTCAGACTCTGCTGAGGACAATGAGAGGCTCCTGAAGGACAAGGACAGCAGGCAGCAAACTGATGGTGTCCTGTTGGCTACTCCTATTGTGAAGATGGATTTAAGGTGCCACAGCTAGAGTGGGCCAAGCTGAGGCGCCGCGGCTGGGTAAAGGGCATTGTGGTGTAAATTACAGGCAGGCGCCCCCTGCAGGCTTGAGGGAGTAACAGATGCCTTTCCTCTGGGTTTCAATGGAACTTTGTTTCAGTCCCCATTTATCCTCTGGCCTGGTGTCATTAATAGGGTGTGTTAGTGTTTCCTGTCGCTGTGATAAAATACGTTGACACAAGCAACTCACAAAAGGCAAAGTTCATTTTAGCTCACAGGTGGAAGTACAGTCCGTCATAGCAGCGAAGGCAGGAGGCAGGAGCGGGAAGCAGGCTGGCCACACCGCAGTCAGGGAGAAGAGAACAATAAATGGTTCTACACTTGGCTTCTTTTCCCCATTTACACTGTCCAGGATCCCAGCCAGGAAATGATGCCACCCACAGTGGGAGGGTCTTCCTACCTCATTAATGTCATCAAGATAATCCCCCACAGGCATGCCCGAGGTCCATCTCCCAGAAGGTTCTAGATTCTGTCAAGCTGACGCCACCAACCATCACACAGGGCACGGTGCTATAGCTGTGGGTGCCAGTTTAGCCGTTTTAGAGGTAACCACGGTTGGAGAAAGGAACAGTGATGAAGGGAAAGGGGAAAATGGAATAAACGATAAGTTGGACGCTGAAGGGCCTCTTGGATTCTGCCCAGTCCCAGCACTCCTTCCTCTCCAAGCCCTGCTGTCTTCTCTGTTTACATCTCTGACTTTATCTTTATCTGGCGCTATGCTGTCACAGAGAGGTGTCCTTGGTACTGGGGCTATAGGACAGGGATCTGGAGTCTGTCAGACACAGAGAGAGAAGGTCTCAGAGGCAGACTCCTCGCTGAAAAGAAGGGACCCAGAGCTCTTTCCAAACTGCCTCCACCCCAACCAGAGTGCTGAACCTGACCCAGAAGGAGGAAAAGAGAGTTCTGAGTCAGGTGGGAGGCTTGGAGTTTAGACCTGATGGGCTAAGTAAGTGAACAAGTCAGGGGTGTGGGTCTCAGCAGGGAAGGGTTGCCTTGCCGAGGATGCTCATCTAGACACAGGCTGGAGAACGCTGTTCTGTTTGATCTCCACCAAGGTGGCGCTGTTAACCAGTCCTGTGGTGGACTCACAAGGTCCCCAAACTCCATACCTTCTAGTCCCTCTACACTGGGAATGCGCTGCCTGGAAGGGAGAGGGGACACACCCTTCTGTCCTTCTTTTCTGTCCCTGGTCAGAGTCATGCTCTCCATGGTTCCTTACAAGTGAGCCCCAAACTTGGGCAGAGGATTATTTTAATAATGTGCATTTTAATTTCTGAGATTTATTAGAAACTATACTGGGCCTGGGTGTGGGTGTAGTTCATCAGCCTTCAAAATAAGCCAGTAACCTTCAATTCCATCCACCCCACTTTTAAAAGCAAGGATCTAGGTCATGTGCTCCCCTTTTCAATTGCTTAGGCTGACCTGTAGGTCAAGGTCAGGGCTAGGGACTCAATGGGTAATCTGAGAGAGGTCTGACATGGGGGAAATCCAGATGGTATATGTCGGCCATACATAACACTGAGTACATAGAAGAGTAAAAAACCCAAACAAAACAACAACACCCCCTACACACACACACACACACACACACTCACACACAACCAGCAGCAAGCAGACACTCAAATCTAAGCCTCTCTACTTCTTAGAGGAGAATGAGCACTCTGCTTGCAAGTACCTCATCCTCCTAGTGAGGATTACAAACCAAAGTCTAAAAAGATGTTTCCAGGTTCAAGTAACTGGTAAGCAAAAGACCCAGATGCAAAAACACACCTGCCTGGCTCCAGTGCACTGTAGTAGCAGGGATCTGAAGCTGCTTAGGGGCAAGATGACACTAGGTTTAATAGGTGATAGGTGGGCTGAGGCAAGACAGGGGTACAGGACCATACTGAAGACCTTGGACGGGGTGGTTCACAGCTCAATTTTGGGATGTATATAAGCCAAGCTAGTCAGAAGACCCGGGGCAATGCCTGGGGTTCCATCAGGTTTTAGAAGGCCATGCTGCGGCTTCAGAAACCAGCCTGGTACAGTCCACCAGCAGATGCTCCACAGATGGGACTTACACACACACACACACACACACACACACACACACACACACACACACACCTCCTCTATTCCGCACTGAAGGTTTTTGTTTTTCCTTCACACTCTCACTTTTCTCTTCTTTTGGCTTCTGTTGAAATTAATTCCACGACACTGAATAACCTTCCCCCACAAGGTTGGAGTTAATCAGGCTGAATTTATTAAGATCGCTACAATTAAATGAGCTCATACCGGGAGGAGGAAAGTTACCTTATTATCCCATTTTTAAGAGCTTGAATAATTTTTGCCCCTATCTTTTACTGTTGACCCCACAGCTACTTCCATCACTGTCACCAATGACTTTAGAGGGGGCTGCTGAACCACAGACTCCTCCGTGGCTCCCATTGCTGATGCAAGGGGATCATGCTCAGACCAATGAGTCATCTCAGAGGAAAACGGAGACAACAAAGGACAAGTTGTCCAGAATGGGTGGAACCCGCCCTTGCCTTACAAGCCAAACTTGAGCTCAGGAGGGTAAATTATGAAGAGGGTGCTTTTCCCCTAGAGGGCGCTGTCAGCTTTATCTGTATCCATGCTCCTGTTAGCCCCTCTCCTTCCAACTCTTACAATATGGACCTCTGTGTCCCACCTGCAATATGACGGTGGAATTTGATTCTGTTGCCCCCAGAAAGGGATTCAGATCAGAAATGGCCTCACTGCTGATCCCGTCTGTACCTTGACCCCCTGCCTTGTTCCCGAGAACCTACCCTCAACCATCCTTGTGTATTAAGGTCTGGGGTTTCCTTGCTTTTGCCTTGCCAGTCTTGTTCATCATAACCTACAAATCTAGGGTTGAGCCTCACTCATGAGACAGAAGCCTGCTTGGATTTATGACCATCCTCCCCATTCAACTGCCTCTTGGATAAGCTCCAGTTGCTTGTGGTAGGGGATTGATGTAAGTCACATCCTCCCCTCCCCTCCCCCTGCCAAAAATTATAAGCTTCAGCTGACACTGTCTGTCAATGTGACCTTATCTGGAAATAGGGTTTTTGCAGATGTATTCAAAGTGAGATGCCATCATCAGAAATAGCCCTCACTGAGAGCTACACAGAATAATGATAGAAGTAGAGGTTGCAAACAGAAACCTTCAAGTCAAGGTACTCTGAATACTGCAGGCAACACCAGAAACTAAGAGGAGTGTCTCGCATTCACAGACAATCCCTCAGAGTCTTTCAAAAAGAACAAACTTTGCTGATGTTTTGCATTAGAGCTTTTTAACTTCAGAAGCATGAAGGAAGGAATTTCTCCTAGGTAACCCACTGAGGACACCCATCCAAGGCCAGTGTGGCCACTGTGCCCCTAAAAAAGCTTGTGATTTCTCTCACCCCTGTTCATGGTTTACCAAGTTGTGCCAAAATTGTATCTCCATGCTTCTGACAAGCAATTCTTCTTCTTTTCCAATCACCAGCCCAGACTCATTGGACTTTCTAGGTCTCGGTGCCAAATTAAGTCCCCTGTCCTAAAATGATATTTGGAGACAACCCCAAGATTCTTGTTACTATGTCAACAAGAGTCCTCCCATCACCCCAAACACAGAGTTACATCTATCCATAAGCCTCAAACAACCATCTGGAAGCTTACAGCCTTTTCTCAATTATAGACTCATGCCCACATCCTCTTTAACAGGCTTAGGTTTTATGAGACACGAACAGAGACAAGATGCTTGTTTGTTTGTTTGTTTGCTTGCTTGCTTGCTTGCTTGCTCAGTGAAGCGATTGGACTGTGGACTGACTTCTGCTGGGCACCATGTCTCCCTTCTAAGTGCAACCTGGTGATGAGTTAACAGGCAAAATACTGTGACTCTGGGAGCACTGGTACCCAGCCCAGCTAAGTCTGGGGCCATATGCTTATCTAGCCCATGCTGGTTTCATCAAATGTCAGGGGCAGACACAACAGATGTCCTCAGAAACCCTGTCTCCGATTCCTTAGGCTCAGTTAACCTTTTTAGGCAGCTCACATTCCTTTCCTTTATAGCATCATCATTTATCTACCTCACAACTCTATTCTCTCCACAGTTTTTCCTGCATCTTCCTCAAAGATAGAGAGAAGCTGACAACCCCTACTGTTAGCTTCATACACAGTTGGCACTCTGTGTGTAAAGGTTGAGCATCCAGGGCTTGAACCTATTTGAGAAAAATGCCTTGCTGAACATGTATACACTCCCTGGTTTTCATTTCCTAAATAAGCTGCATAGGAATTAATTACATAGCATGTATATTACACTGGATGTTATAAGAACTCTAGAGATGATTTAAAGTGTAGGGGAGATTGTGCATATGTTCTATGAAAATGCTACACTTTTGGATAGAAGAGACTTGAACAATGACATATTCTCGTGTCTGCAGGGCATCCCGCATCAATCTACCACAGATATGCAGGGAGAGTTTTATACATGGTTCTTCCTTATTATAATGCCATTGTCCCAGAGAGGGACCTACTGACATGACAATCTGGAGGTGTTAGAGAAATGGTGTGACTCTTTGCCAACTCTTAGCTACATTCAATCAAACATTGTACTCTTGGCTTACCTCACGCTTTTATCAAAAGAACTTGGGGGGGGGGAGATGGCTCAGTGAATAAAAACACTTGGTGTGCAAGCATGGCCATCTGATTTCATATCCCCAGCACCCAAGTGCAAATACAAATGTGGCCACACTTGCCTGTAGCCTCAGTGCTGAGGTAGGGAGTAGGGAAGACACAGGCTTGCTACCAGCCAGCCTAGCTGAAAAATTGCAAGTTTCAGGTTTAGTGAGAGACCCTGTCTCAAGGGAACAAGGTGGAGAGTGACAGGAAATAAAAGCCTGACATCCTTCTCTGGCTTCTACATGTGTGCTCACAGGTGCATACACTTGCACACACACACACACACACACACACACACACACACACACACACACCACATGTATAGATAGATAGATATATAGATATATAGATATATAGATAGATAGATAGATAGATAGATAGATAGATAGATAGATAGATAGATAGATAGATAGATAGATAGAACGAACTTGGGTGTTCTGCAGCTCCTAGCTAGTTGTTTCACATTTCTCTGAACAGATTAAGTATATATCCACATTCTCAGGAATTCATTGGTTTTATACATTGTGTTTCTACTGACCGCACTCAGCAACTTCTCTTCTAGCCAAAGACTTCTTCCCACTGAGCCCCTATCATTTCCCCCGTTTGTCTCTTTCTCCTAGCTGAAATTTTTATCCTTCTCCCCTTACATTTTTGCTTTTCTGAATATGTGTTTTATGCTTTCAGGTTATGGATCTAGAAACACACACAGCTGCTACCTGTTCAAAGCCCTCCTGAGGCCTCGGCCTGAGCTCTCCTTAATGGCACCTCGCCGAAAACCAGAACCCTGGACAGCTCCTAAATGACAGCTCCTAAAAAAAAAAAAAAAAAAGACACCCCCAGCCCTGCCCCAGGAAGGAGGCAGTGAATAAGAACCACCAGGGCTTTGCTCAGTGTGATCTGAAAGGAGGGCTGAGTTCTTATAGAAGGATGGACACTGAAGGCAGACAGGGTAGTTCATGCAAAAGGACCAATTTTCAGATTTCAAAACTCAGAACATGATCTAGGGCTCTTGGGAGTCTCTGAGACATTTCAGAGGACCCCCTAAGGTCAGAGTGATTTCCATAAAAATAATGATATGCTATTTGCCTTTTCCACCATGAGCTATTTACACTGATGCTGCTGACACCATGGTTGAAAATGAGGACAGCAGCAGCAAATTGAACCAGCAACAACATGTTTCCCAGTGCGAAGCAGAAGAAAGCAAACAGGGTAGCCGTGGAGGTTTTAAATAAAGCAACAGGCATTCTCCATATCATTAGCAATTGACTCTTAAGAATACATCTTTGGGGAAGTGCGGAGATAGTTCAGCCAATAAAGTATTTGCCACACAAGCATCTGGACCCGAGTTTGCTCCCCAGAACCCATGTGAAAAGCAGACATGATGATGCATGCTCATAATCCCAGCTGTGGGAAGGCAGAGACAGGCAGGTCCCCAGTACTAGCTGGTCATTCAGCCTAACTTTATTGGTGAGCTCCAGGTCTCAGTGAGAAATCTCATCTCAACAAACAAATAAATAGATAAATGAAATAAACCAGGTGGGTGATAGGAAACAACACCCAGGGTTCACCTCTGCCTTCCACAAGCACAGGTATACACATCCACATGAACATGAGCTCCATATGTGTGATCACATGAACATGCACACAGAGAGTGGAGGCGGGTACACAATTTGAATATTCCATGTGACAAAATAAGAAGTGTAGGGTAGTACTTTGGCTGTAATGGCTGTTTCTGGAAAGGCTTTCATGTGATCATGGAGGCTGTGAGTTCAATCACCCTTTCCTATGGAACTCTGTTTTTATGTGAAAGAATGACTGATAACCATGTAATGCTTAGCCAAGCTTAGGTATCTTTCAGGTTCTTATTAAAATGTGTTCATTTCAAGAGAAATGACTTACAGTATTGGTTGTCAGTAATTTCTTAAAAATCAACTTTTCAAATGGAAATGATTCGTAGATGCTCTAACTCCTATAATGAGCCCAGGAGCTCTCAATATTTAAAGACCTATTTGATGAGATTTCTGGTGATATTAACAGATATAAATTCATAATATCAGATAATGAAATGTGTCAACACCCAAAAGATCTGCATAACCCAGTGGACTGATGTTTTCCAAATGACTAATGCATGGCTGTAAAATTATACAGGAAAAGATGAATCCAAAGTTCAAGAGAGGACAAACATTTTAATGTGAGTTTAAAAAAAAAGATCATTGATGTGTTTTCAGATTCTCTGCTGTGTCCATCCTTTGAGAAGGATGATAGTGCCAGAAGAACATCTCCAGAGGCTGGAGCAATAGCTCAGCAGTCAAGAGTACAGAGTGCTCTTTACAGTACCCAGGTAGGGCCACTCACAACCACCTATATCTCCAGCTCCAGGGCATCCAGTGTCGTCAGGCCTCTACAGACAACTGCGCTTACATGTATATATCCACACATAGATGCACATGCACATACAGTTAACTTTTTTCATCTTAAAGAAAGACTATCAAGCTGGGCGTTGGTGGCGCACGCCTTTAATCCCAGCACTCGGGAGGCAGAGCCAGGCGGATCTCTGTGAGTTCGAGGCCAGCCTGGGCTACCAAGTGAGCT